ATATTGTTTTTCATAATTGAGTAAATAATGGTAATGGAAAAACTATTATTATATATATATATATATATATATGTATATAGGTTCAAAATGAAGAATAAAACAAAGAAAAATTATAGACATATGAAAAAAAGGGGGGGGGAATAATAAGTAAAAAAATAACAAACAACAGTTTCTATTAAAAAAAAAATTTTATTTAAAAAACCGGGAAAAAAAGATATAATCTTTTCATCAGCCTTAACGATTACATCCGCAAAACAGAGTGCTTACTGATATTGTATCAATGTATTTATTTATTTATTATATATATATACACGTCTTGTATGCTCAGCTAAAGTCCACCTTGTCATGAAATTTTAATGGGCAAATGCAATTTGATCCTATCGCTTGTGTGACGTCAGCTAAAGCTTAGTTATGGACCGAAGTGCCAATACTTTTTAAAAAAGCTTCAGAAAAATAATTTTTAATCCTTTCAGTATGAAAGCTTTGAAACTGCACTATTCCCCCCCCCTTTATTTGAGAAGAATGGATTTATAGTTCAAACATTTTCGTGACACTAAAATTCCGAGGCAAGGTTGCCGTAAGGTTACATGCTTTCTGGATATTATAGATATATATATATTCTAAATGCACATGAAATTGTGTGTTCTCAGTTAACAAACACAGAACAACAGGGTAAAACGTGGATTGACTATGAAAAGTACAGTGTGATTATTATTTTTGTTAGGAACTCCAGCGTCGATTCACGATGCCTGCAGCTTTGCCAGCAGAGAATGTGAACAACAATTCAAGGAATGAGTCTTGGGCAGAGGCCAGAAGAGAGCAGCGTCGAGTCTCCATTCGAAAAGACCTCGCCCGTCCCCTCTACAGGAAGGACATATTCTACAGTGGAAGTATCGTCCATCTACCCGAATATAGAGAATCTAAGCACGACATCAGGACATACATATCAAATGTCACACTCATCCCCGATCAACAGGTGAGGATACCATATGACCTCTCCCTCCCTACCGAAAGGGGCAGAGAGGGAAATTCTATTTAATTTTAGAAAATAAACTGATATTTATACTATATTCGGTAGTATATATGTTACCGTCAAAGTACGAAACGCCGGCATTCTATACAATGCCTAGGTATTGTATATAATGCCGGTTGTTTTTAGGCAAGGTATGAAATATGAGAAGTATTACACCGTCAAAGTATGAAACGCCTGCATTCTATACAATGCCTAGGCATACTATATAATGCCGGTTGTTTTTAGGCAAGGTATGAAATATGAGAAGTATTACACCGTCGAAGTATGAAACGCCGGCATTCTATACAATGCCTAGGCATACTATATAATGCCGGTTGTTTTTAGGCAAGGTATGAAATATGAGAAGTATTACACCGTCAAAGTATGAAACGCCGGCATTCTATACAATGCCTAGGCATACTATATAATGCCGGTTGTTTTTAGGCAAGGTATGAAATATGAGAAGTATTACACCGTCAAAGTATGAAACGCCGGCATTCTATACAATGCCTAGGCATACTATATAATGCCGGTTGTTTTTAGGCAAGGTATGAAATATGAGAAGTATTACACCGTCAAAGTATGAAACGCCGGCATTCTATACAATGCCTAGGCATACTATATAATGCCGGTTGTTTTTAGGCAAGGTATGAAATATGAGAAGTATTACACCGTCAAAGTATGAAACGCCGGCATTCTATACAATGCCTAGGCATACTATATAATGCCGGTTGTTTTTAGGCAAGGTATGAAATATGAGAAGTATTACACCGTCAAAGTATGAAACGCCGGCATTCTATACAATGCCTAGGCATACTATATAATGCCGGTTGCTTTTAGGCAAGGTATGAAATATGAGAAGTATTACACCGTCAAAGTATGAAACGCCAGCATTCTATAGAATGCCTAGGCATTGTATATATTGCCGGGTGTTTTTAGGCAAGGTATGAAGTATGAGAAGTATTTCATACTTTCTCTAGGCATTGTATATAATACCTAGGCATTCTATAGAATGACAAATGCTATTTGCCTAGCAAATGCCTCACCACGTGATATTCGAAACGAATCGGAGACGTATTTTATACTTTGCCCGGTTTCTCATTTGGTATTCTATAGAATGCCTAGGAAATGCGTGAAATGTAAATCGTTTCATACACTGTCGGCTAGTTTTAGGCATTCTATAGATTGCCGGATTTCAAACTTTGCCTTTAACATATACGTGCAAAATACAAAGCAGCAATCAATTCGATTACATTGTTGAGATATAAAGGATAAAATTATATCAATACAATGAACAGTTTTTGCGAGTGTCAGCAGTGCGAATGTACATTTAATGAACATGAATCGTATAAACGCATTCTGAAAGAAATATCATAATTAATAGTACAGTATTGATTATCAATAGTGTAAAATAAGCCAATAATAAATAAGAAAAGATTTTTTTTTCTCCCTCCCAACTTTTTTCCAACTCTAAGTAGTGGTTGGAGGAGAGGCCTCCTTTTATACACAGAGGCTGCACCAAACCTTGGGCTTACATTATGCCCTCTTCCCCTTTCACTCAACAATGGTGAATTTATTCTCAAGATATAATAGAGTACCTCTTCTCATTTTCAAAGAAGTCTCAGTTTAAAAAAAAAAACATTTAAAAAATTTTTTCACATGGTAACAAAACCTGAAATAATTTTTTGAAATATTACCTCCTTCTGCAATAGAAAAATTCTAAATTACGAATCTTAAATAGAATACGAATTCTTCGAACATGCTATTCTTATTATATTATGCATTTTATAAGCATAGAAACTGAAGGATTTTTTTTTCACTCGTAAATCAAACTAAAAATGTTTGACAAGTAAGCACATTAAATATTGATTGATTAGTAGAGAAAGAATATTTAAAAAAAAAACTGTTAATGACTGACATTGATTGCGTCTTACGACACTGTGCTCCGTTAGCTCGTGTGAGAGTAAGGCCCTGTTTGCCTAACTGTTGTCATGTTTCTAACAGTTATTCATGACTGTTAGTTCAGTTTTTGCTTTAACCAGCACCATCTGTGATAATTACGAGAATGGCGGTCATTATGAAGAAATAGCCACAGAAAATGAAAAACGCTTCTGAATAGGACATAAAAAGTGAACTCAATAACTGGGATCATAAAAATTTGCGAGACTTATTCATTTATTTTGTTGATTTTCCACACAGTGGAAAAATCTCGCCAGGTAGGAGATTTTTAAAAAAAAATTAAATTTAAGTTATTGGTCCGTTTCATATATTTCCTTAGAGCGAGACGCAAATATAGGTTTAAATTATGTGTTTATTTTACTTCGCAAAATAGCTTATAAAAAAGCTATTAGAGAGAAACTTTTTTAATTCTCACTTCTATTTTTATTTTAAAATTTAAAGAAAAAATAGTTTAAGTAAACCATGAAGTTTCAAATAATGGCAGAAAATATGTTTTTTTTTTCTTCATTATATTAAAATGCAAACACCACACCTATAGCGCAATCCAGGCTAATACTACGATAATACGAGTTTTTTTTTTCTTTCTCTCGCTGTATAACACTCTGTTAGTATAAGTGTCCTTTACTTCAGATCCGATCCACATTGACTTACTGATCTCAGTCAATCACTATTAGCCGTCAGTAAGCTGGTAGGAGATCAAACTGCAATGGTATAGAGCAGTGATTCTCAACCTTGTTTTCGTGGCGGCACACTTTTAACGATTTCGAAATTTGACGGCACACAATGAAAAAAATTAGATTAAAAGTTGTTTAATTACCTATTTTACACGGGGTTAAATTGTTTGTGATAATAATTTTGAATGTGAAATAAAATAATATGTACTACAAAAGCACGTTTATTAAGAGATTAATTATGTTTTCCGACTAATTTTTTATTAGTTAGTAACAGTTATTTTTCTTTTTCTAGTTATTAATTGTTAGCTTGTCTTCTATAGTTATTATCTGTTAGTTTTTTTGACATTAATTTTTAATTTTTTGTGATTTCTTGTTAACTCCTGCTAATTATTAGTTGTTATCTTAGTTAGTTATCCTTTGTTAGTCATCCTTTGTCAATTTGTTTTTATAACTGTTTATTGCGTGGCTTACTTTAATGATTAGCTTTTATTTCCGTTTGAAAATTAATATTTAGCTTGCTTTCCTTTGTTAATTAATAATTTTAATAGTCATTAAATTTTCCACTTATTTCAACATTTTTTAAAATTGTCAAAGACAATTTAAACACACTCTTCTTATTTTAAGATTGTGAGCGACAAGACAATCACCGACGAAGATGTTCACGCGATTAAAGCGTGGAAAAATTATAAAAAGTATATATATATATTGTGTCAACCTTCATCTATCAAAAGGTACCTCAAGATAGAATCAAGTTAACATGTCTTAGTGAATTGGTATTCAATATTTATGGTGGTAGTTGCGCCACAATATCATTTCCACAATACGACCCAATAAGGAGTCGATCATCCCCCGATTTTCAGTTTTTCTATCGCTTCTCACTTTGCACACGCGAAGGACCAGTCGATTCATGAAGGGTGAACCTGATGAGTGAAATATATTATCTCGCTGAGAAATCCCCCCCATAAAATTCTCCTTTTCTTTTTTACTGGATGCATGCAGTTTGATTCATTTCAGATGGAGATTCCTGACTCCAGAGAGAAGAAACTGTGTCCCCGCCTTCCCCGAAGCATGGAAGACACTTTGAAGGAGGCCCTCGACTTCTCACTCCTCCGTCAGCCCAATTTCTTGCTGGCCTGTGTGGCCAATGTNGGTCTCTCCATCCTCACGGCACCTTTCTGCTTCTCCTACGCTTCCATCATGACAGCCTGCATCTTCTTCAGCTTCTTTGTATGTAAGTCTTTTTTTTCAGACATCTTTAATAATCAAAGCTTAATCCCGTCAGGGGGCATATATACTGTAGACTCAAAGTGCGCGCACGTGACTACCCAGCGAGGGAAAAAAAGAGAGGATTTACAAAGGTAGGCTTGGTAACGGTTCATGGCAACACGTCGGAATAATGGGCAAGAGAGGCAAAAACAACCCCAAGGAAAAATCCTGGTGGATGTGGTCTAGGCGCCGCGCGCGCAGAGCGGCAACTCACCAAGATCTAAAGATAAAATCCCCTCAACTAGAATGCCGCAAAGAATTGAGTGAATCCTAAATATTAACGTCCCGCAGTGGACTGATCGTTAAGACACGGTTCCCAGCAGATCACCGAAGTCAAGCATCACTGGCTACGGTCAGTGTGCGGGTGGGTGACCACTTGGATCAGTCTGCGTAGGGACCGAGGGTGTGCGGTATGGGTCCTCGTTAAACTGTGCTACCGTAAAGTGCTCGACTTCGCGCGCAGGTCGTCGGGCTACCGAAGCGGGGGTGCCATCCCCTCCGCAGAGGATCAAAATTGTGATGGCATGTCTTCGGATCATCCTCCGGGATGTTTCCCAGACCGTCGCCAATAGCCCATTGTGCAGCTCTAGTGCGACGCAAATTAACAATAACAATAATAACAATATTAACAGGAGTAGTTACTCAGAGCCGTGATGGCTCAGGGGATAGAGAGCTCGCCTTCCATTGAGGTCAACCGGGGTTCGATCCCGGCGATGGCTGGTCGATACGAATTCCGCACCGACCACAGTGTTGACATGAAATATCCTCAGTGGTGGACGGATCATGGGTTAGAGTCTCTTTGCCGTCAGGCTAACCGTGGGAGGTTCTCGTGGTCTTCCTTTCCATGTAACGCAAATGCGCGTTAGTTCATTCAAAAAGTCCTTCACGAAGGCATCAATACTCGATCCAGACGTTCCCTTGTCTCTCTGGATTGGGTTCAAAATGACAAGGCAACGGGGTTGAACATTAGAAGTCGTAAACCCAAAAATTGGATCGGCTGTTCAACGACGGATATAAAAAGAAGAAAAGAGTAGTTACTCATTAAACAAAACTTAGGAGTGTTCAGAGATAACAGGCTAGGGATCAAACAGAGAGCAATAGAACAGTAAAAACATTGAATAAAGGTAGAAAACATAGTGTAATGATGAAAAGTGCTACAATTTGAAGAAAGTCAATGAGAACAGATAGAAGAGTTACAGCGATGCAGCCGTCAGGAAAAATCTAAGAACAGGGGGAAATTCAAAACAGGAACATTTGACAAAATATTTTAACAATAAGTTAATTGAAAATCATTTCTAAAAAAAACACACAGTATTTGCAAAAGATTACACGATGAAAGAAAAAAACACTTGAAATAAAATTAAAATAAAATGAAAATTTTATTAATAACGGAAGCTCAATCCCTGAGAAAACATGTAACCTTTGTGTCGGAATTTTCTTTTTTTTACCACGAAGATGTTTGTATAAAAAACCTTTTTTCAATAAAGCAAAAATAGAGCAGTTTCAAACCTTTCATTCAAAAAGGATATAAAATGATTTTTAAAAGCTTTTTTTAAAAAGTATTGTCATTTAGGTCTGAAATAAATGATTTGAATTTATCTTAAAAGGAATGATTTGAATTTATCGGAAGAAAAAATAAACAATGAATCTTGAAAACAATAAATTTAAAAAGATCCCAAACTATATTAACCATTCATTTCGAATTTCTCAAATCGAGGATTAGAAAAAAAAAATAAAGAGATAAGTAAGTAAAAAAAAAATATCTGACAGTATTTGAAAGGAACAGGCAAGTCTTAGTAGAAAGAAATTAGATAAAAGGAGAAATTAGACAATAGATTACATAAATATAGATTAGTATTTATTATATCAAGCATTATATTAGAATATTATAATAATTCGATCCAATTATTAAACGCACTGTGATAATGATAAGATTTGCATTATAGGCAATACTTTTATATTTAAACATTCGTGTAATGGGCTCTTATTCGGAAAATTTTTTTTTTATATACTTCCTATTTGTATTTATTTTTAACGTATTGCGTGACAATGTTAACCCATTGACACAGAAACGTAAACAAATTGCAAACCGGTTTCATGCACATAAAAAAAAAAACTGTATGCGTCTAATAATATGGACTGTACCTGACAAAGGCATTTTACTTTAAAAAAAAAGAAACATCAGCGTTGGGTACACAGGAAATACTTTGTTTTTAATCAGCTTTTTGTTTCAGCTGCCTACATTTCCCTGACATCTATCATATTGGTGGATATGGTAGGATTAGACAGGCTAACCAACTCTTTTGGATTATTGAGTCTTTTCAGAGGTGCCGCATCCATTCTGGGTCCTCCACTCGCAGGTATTCTTCCCCACTACTCTACTAAAATAAAGTAATAAAAGACTTAACAAGCGTGAATTAGGAAAACAAAAAAGAGATTTGATATGGAAATTATAAAATTGACAACGAAAATAGGGTAAATGAATAAGGGTGAAAAACAGTTTTTTCTTACCATGATTTACTTTCTAATTTTCATTTGAGAATTTTTCTAATTTACTCACGGCTACCGTGGTTTTACTAATTCTTTTTGATATCCGTCGTTGAACATCTGACCCAATTTTGGGTTTAAGACTACTGAAGTTCAACTACGTAGCCTTGTCATTTTGAACCAATCCAGAAGACAAGGAAACTCCTGGATCAGTACCCCCAGAGGTATTGATTTTTGTAATGCGAACATGGAGGACGTTGTGACTCGCTTAATTTAACGTGCATCAATCACCATTTACTACACGGGGAGTCCACGGCAGACGGGGATCGAACCGGCGCCCATTTTGGACATGGACCCGGTACCCTACCCACCAAGCTACCCAGGCCTTCCAAGAATTTGATAATAATTTTTTCAGCTCCTTATTTCCATTTCTCAAAAATAGGCTCTATGATTGTACTGTATTATTTTACTATTATTATAAACCCTCTGATTCGAGATCCTTGAATGACACGAGAAAATATACGCAGAAATATTACCTAACTTGTCTGTATAGCAATGTAATATGCGTAAGTGCAAGTATAAAAATAGATCATAAAAACGCATGTAAATCATTCTTCCTAGCATTTCGAGATTAGTATAATTCAATTCAACGAGAACAATGCTTCTGCCTAAGAAGCTATTCAATTCACCCTTCTCAAAATAACCCATTTCCCTCAACAACAACAGAAAAAACAGGAATTTTTAGGTTATTATTTATAATAACATAACAAATGGCCGAGATAGCCTGGTTAGTAAGGTGCTGGGCCTCTGTCCAAGAGGTTGTGAGTTCGATCCCCGCAGACCGAAGACTCCCGGTGTAGTAAATGATCATTGATGCTCATTAAATTTGTCGAGTCACAAAGTACTCCATGTTTACATAACAAATCAATACCTCTGGGGGTACTGATCAGAGTTGGCCGTTGATTACAGTAATCGATTACAACTGTAATTGATTACAGATAATTACAGCTATGTAATCAATTACTTGTAATCACGATTACAAGTAATCAATTACTTGTAATCGTGATTACAACTTTCAAAAAATTTTGATTACAGCTGTAATCATGATTACAATTTTGATTACAGTAATCAATNTATCAGGTTATGATTAATATATATATTTATATTTTAATTATACTCATTTTTCCGTAGAAAAAGTCAAATAAAGTAGAATTGAACTATAGCTGAAGATATAAAAAACTGAAGCTCAAAGTATTTCTGTCCTGATATTTGTTTATTTCTGATAAAATCTCTGATTCTTTCTGAGAATTTCTGATAAAAAGAAGAAGAAAATAACTATGAATGGTAAATTTGTGTTCGAATTTGAACACAAGATTAAAACTCCCAAAATATTAATCATTTGTCTCACAACGCAAGCAAGTGACATACACCGGAAGTTCTTAGAATTCCGTTCCGGTTTTAGAATCTTATTATTTTTGTTAACTCGATTCCTGCATAGGTTTCCCGTGCATAGGTTTCTAGGTGAATGTCTGTGAAATTCATTTTTTTTATTTCATACGAGATTATTTTCCTATTTTTCCCCCCATCTTTTTAGAGCTTATTTTTGAAGGATTTAAAAGCATACTATGATTTCGCATCACTTTGATTCCTTTGAATGATTCTTGCAATACGGCAAATGAATACAAAAAGAAAAAAAAAAAAAGGAGGGAAGAAAAATCCATCAGTTGACCAATCAATGTATTGACCTAGAAGTGAATGACAAATCAGCTTATAAATATTATCAGTTTATAAATATAATCAGTTTATAAAAAAAATAGATAAACCTATAATTTTTTGAGCAAATTATTTTCAATCATCCTAAATTTCAGTTTAATAAATTAGAGGTGCCCTAAAGTAGAATAGAATATTTTTTTTTTCAAAATTTCTCTCCTTTTTTTGTTTGAAGACTTATTCTATGACATGTTAAAATCTGATTGGCTAAAAACCTGAAATCGAATGCATAAAGAGTAAAGATGTTCTGCGATGAAGCCTACTCAGTGACTAAAACGTTCCACGAGAAGTGCTATGAACTAGTAAACAAAAAACATTATCCGTTCATACTGCCAAGTTAGTTTATTTACACCCTAAGCAGGCTGGTCAAAGTGGTCCGGTCCTCACTTTCGATGATCTACTGCTAACTATCCAATCCAATACCGTCAGTTGTTTTTTAGAGCGATTATCGCATTATGTTGGATGCACACGACCACCTTTTGAAACCTTACTATACTTAGCGCTAGATGGCGTATTTCAGTTCTAAAATTGAGGAGAAATGATAAGAGTACTTTAAAAAAATAGAGATGACTAAACTGATGTCGTCCCGCAGTGAACTGATCTTTAAGACACGGTTCCCAACAGATCACCGAAGTCAATCATCACTGGCTGCGTTGTTGTTGTTGTTGCAGTTAATTTACGTCGCACCGTCGCCAATAGCCCATTGTGCAGCTCTAGTGGGACGTAAATGAGCTACGACAACAACTAAACTGATGTCACTTTACTTAATTGTCTACTGATCAACCATTTACTAATAGCAACCAATAGGGAAGTGGCTCTGTTGAAATGGGAATACGTGCAAGCAACTGGTTGCCATTTACATCCACAAAATTAGGACAATAAAGTGATGTCACTAAACATCTGATTTGTGTAACTTCCTCCAACAACGAATATTCCTGGAGTGACAAGATTCAAATCAGTGATTAAAAAGAAATTGCATTATTTCGGTGACTGAAAATGATTTTAATAACTGGTTATGGTTTTTCAGGTTCTTTTTATGACTGGACCGGCAGTTACGAAATTCCATTCTTCATAGCCGGTGGACTGCTCATATTGGCGGGATTCCTCATGTATTTTGTGCCTAGGCTCGAGAAGACACCCCTCTGCGACATCAAAATCTCCACAGAACCCACCACTTCCCTCTGAAGAACCATTCCCACTGCATGCCTTTCACGCTCGTGGGAGAATGAGAACGTGATTTGTGAAGTGTAGTCTCACGCGTAAAAACTCATGTTCTACTTACTTGTGGTGATTAGAATGAACCATGATTTGAGGCCAAAAAGGACGTCTTCAAACTTTTATGCCACTTACATATGTATAAAGATTATTCATTTATGTGCTGTACAAAAATTTAGTTTTTTTTTTTTTTAAAAATTAATGACCATATTTATCTAACTTAACTTCGTTATTATGCAGTTTGGAAATAGTATATGATGTTCAGCATTTTCTGCACACATGTAAAACGAATGAGTGCAAGACTCTTCACGTGTGTTTATTTTTGTTGAAATTACTTTCCCACAAATATGGAGTTCCTTTTTATTTATCTCTGTAAAACAAAATTATCTTGTTAAAAAAAGAAGAAAAAAGACAAGCGCATTTCCAATTTTTTTATGCATATATATGTCACCCTATTTAAGAAAGATAAGATCTCTTACGAAAAATTTAAGGGCATTTGAGAACGTATGTGAAAGATTGAGAACATGCCTGTTTTTAAATATTTTGGGCAGAGAACTACTGAAACAGAGGTGCGTGAACTGCATGCAGTGTGACAGGTCCTTTCACGAGAATCATCCAGTGAAAAAAATCGTAGCGGAGAATGAGATCAACTGATTGCTAAAGACTCTTTCAAAAAGGGGTGTAGTAGGGAATATTATGTCACTCAATGGTATGCATACTTTTTGAAATGCATACTTTTTACAAAAAGGCTTACACCCCTTCCAATGCTTATGCTTTATTCCTAACTTAATCCTGCAATTTTATTTGTTATATATTTAAAACATACTTTCAATTTAAATTTTTATAAAATGTTTTTAAATTAAACATATTTAATACCTATATTATTTAGTACTTATGATATACTTTAATTTTGTATTCAAAATTGTTGATTATTTTTTTAATTTAATAAAATGAAAATTTATTTAATGATGATAAATTTAATAAGGATTTATTCTAGTAAAATGCCCCAATGGTTTAACAAACTTCATCTTTTATTCATCATGTTTTTATTTTATTTTATTTATTTATTTATTTATCTACGGAATGCAGTTCTAATGAATCATTTTGTCAATTAAAGTTTTTTTTTATCAATAAATGTTTGTTTTTAATTAGTCTCAAATGTAACATAACACTTAAGAATGCGAACTGTAATGTAACGATATTTAAAACACTGATGCAAAAATGCGTTAATTTTAAATATTTTTGCGAGACAATTTCTTAATTGAAATATAAAATTTTATTTCATACATTTTCGCTAAAAATGCTGGTTCATCCCGACAAAAAAAAGTACAACTTCTACTAGTCGCAAATGATTTATTTTTTATATAAAAACAAAATCGTATTAAAATAAAAATCTTTCCCGAACTCATTTTTTTTAAAAAAAAAACAAACATAAAATCAATATATTTTTTTATTTTATTAATAAAAACAAGAAGCTAAAACAATACACAAGTTTTAAGTTGAAATTTTAATTTTTTTATGATTGAAAAAAAATATTTAATTTACCATCAATTGACTATCCCAAATGATCTGGGGTCAAATTAAAAAAAGTTAACTATTAGTCACATCTTTTCATAATCTGAAATATCAACTGCATTACTTTCTCTCTCAAACGCCATTTTTTAAAATTCTTTTCTCTATGTAAATTCATCAACCATTGTATATACAATTGTGCAAAAAATGTCTGCACAGTCCCACAAATAGCTAAACTTCCAAACAAAAATTGGCAAACTTCCAATCTTAGCAGAGTAATATTATTTTTTGTTATGTTTGAAATTCGAAGTCAATATTCTGTTTTAACACATAGCCCGATATCCTACCTGAATATTGACCTATAATATTTATATTGGACCACGTATTATATTACCGGATACTAGTGTACCCTACCAGCGGAAATAATTATAGGCTTTTTAGGGGGTACACAGTGTGGCCCTATTGTTTACTATTTATGCATAAATATAATAGTGTGTTTATTAACTTTAAAATAGGGAAATTCGAAGTCAATATTCTGTTTCAACACATAGCCCGATATCTTACCTTAATATTGACTCATAATATTTATATTGGACCAGGTATTATATCGCCGTGTACTTCTGTTTCGATTGAAATTGCAATTTTTTGGATTTGGGTATTATAAAAGAAGAAAATATCTGCTTTGCTGATTTATACAATAAAAGAAATTATTTTAATTTCAATAGAAATAAACTAATTACTTGGAATTCTAATGTTTCTAGGAACATCTATTAAGATGCCACTTTTAATGTAATGAATAGAATTAAGAGAATATGTAGTAATATTTATGTATCCAAAAAACAAATAGATAAACTCTTTCAAAATTTGATAAAAAGCGATGAATACCCAACTAAGGTAATTAAATTCTATATGAATTAATTTAGTTAATTGCATATTATTGTAAATAAATTTACTAAAAAATTTCTTTGTTAATTTGTATAATTTTTTTCATGTGCAAATCCATTTCGGGCAAATCCATGGCTAAAATTACGTGCAAAGCAGGCAATTCATTTTTCTTTCTGTCTTCTATTTTATTGTTTTCTTAAATAAATGTTAATTTTCTAAAATTATTAATTGTCAACTTCTTTAAATTATCCAGCGTAATAGGACCTAGCGCATATCCTTTTTAACTAACAACTCACACGCACTTTAATACAAAACCCGTCTATTTACGCTTTTACCGAAAAATTTCATATTTTGCAATCTGGCAATCTTGTTTCGAAAATATTTTAAATCAATCTTGAAAAATTTCCCGTTCATGAAAGTTTAATATCTTTTATTTTCCGGATTTTTATTCTTTTTTTCAGATTTTTTTTCTCCATATTCTCTTCTTATTCTTATTAATATTTCCCCCCCTTTTTTCATTGTTCTGTAATTTTTTCCATGTTTTCTCTTCATTTCATTTATATATATATATATATATATATATATCACACTTTTCAACTGTGTTCAAGAGAGTAAACAGTGCGCATGCGCGTTATTTTTTCGTTTTATATGTGATGCTGTTCGATTGTTTTACATTATCCAATTTCTAAAATTAAAGTGCATAACTTGAAGTCTTTCAAGATATTAACTTGAAATGTATATTTTTTTTGTTGGAAATATCAAAGAATTATTTNTATATATATATATAATTAGCATGATTATTTAGTTCCTGCAAGTTTTTCAATCGCATGATTGCATGTCATTTGCTTCAAATTAAAATGTTTCATTTAATTAACTTTCTATTAACAAAAAATGTTAAAATTAAGGGGAAATTGTTTAAAAGATATCAGTAATGGATAAAAATTCTTAAGATTTTGTGCTGAGAAACCTAAAAAAAAAAACCTTAAAAATTACAATAGCGATTAATAATTGGTTCTTCGAGTCAAACCAAAATTCGAGAGTTATTTTAGAGCATATTTATGATAGCCGCATTCAATATAAAAAGGTTTAAAGAGAAAAAAAACTTCATCAACTCAAATAAAATTGGGTCGGAAGCATAATCATGTCGGCGAAATGAACTTCGGCAATGTGTAATGTCTGTACAGCGACTGTCAGCAATATGAACACGGACCACAAAAACCATCCGGTACAGTATCAGCAATTTTTTTATATCTCACATGAAAAGGGGGGGGGTGTAGTAAATTTTTACTGCGAATTTTATAACTGCGAAGTAAATTTTTTTCCTTTTATTTAGAAAAATATTGACCGATAAAATATAGATTTTTTTTCTCCATATCTTTCCCTTCTGACAAAACGCATGCAGTCAACACAGCTGCAAACTTTATTATGGACGCTGGTAGAAAATTATTTTATTTAGCACATTTAAGAAAGGGGAGAATATTTTATTAGGTTAGTTTTTACCTATATTTATAAATGCTACTTCTTTTTTAATTTAGAATCTGATATTCAGATACTCATAGATTTATTACCCAATGGCAAAACGGGTGTTGTTTTGGGTTTGATTTCCTGCACACCTTATTTGGACGTCATCACACCTTTTTAACTGTGTTCAAGAGTAAAAGTAAACAGTGCGTTGCTATGGTGACAGCTGTTGTTTCTTAATTTTTTAAACATTTTTTTCAATTCTAATTTTGTTATGCTTCAAGTGGGTGAGTTTATTTTAGAGACAGGGGACCAGGGAGATCCTATAAATACTTCTTGAGTAGTCAATAAACGATAATTTGAACAATATTTTTCTTTCTATTATTTTAATTAACAATCAGAAATTCTAAACTACAGTTCAAACTGGATCGTTTTCAATACTAATTCAGGTGAATATCACAAGTAAAGAGGATTCCAAACTGATTGACACGGTCCCAAAGGTAAAGAGTTGAAGCAAGAAAAAAAATTCAACAACAATTATTGTGCCAATGGCTAACCTGTGATCGCTGAATTTTTTTCAATTTTTCCGAATTTTTTATTTTTTTATGTATTATCGAATGCGTTTTAAATTGTCAAAATTTGTAATTTTAATAAAGTTAGTAGTTAAAATAAAAGTATTCATGATTAAAGGTTTATAAAGAAAATATTACCTTTGACAAAGCATGTTAAATAAGGTAAATGTTTGTTATCCTTCTGGTTTCGATCCTTTAACAAAGAAAAATATTTCTTTTCAC